CATACAACAAAGGTTAAAAATGTATTAAGTGAAAACAGTATTGAGCTTTACAATAATGAATTCGTTGACTCATAGAACAAAGGTTAAAAATGTATTAAGTGAAAACAGTATTGAGCTTTACAATAATGAATTCGTTGGCTCATAGAACAAAGGTTAAAAATGTATTAAGTGAAAACAGTATTGAGCTTTACAGTAATGAATTTGTTGACTGATAGAACAAAGATTAAAAATGTATTAAGTGAAAACAGTATTGAGCTTTACAATAATGAATTTGTTGACTGATAGAACAAAGGTTAAAAATGTATTAAGTGAAAACAGTATTGAGCTTTACAATAATGAATTCGTTGGCTCATAGAACAAAGGTTAAAGATGTATTAAGTGAAAACAGTATTGAGCTATAGAATAATGAATTCGTTGACTGATAGAACAAAGGTTAAAAATGTATTAAGTGAAAACAGTATTGAGCTTTACAATAATGAACTCGTTGGCTCATAGAACAAAGGTAAAAAATGTATTGAGTGAAAACAGTATCGAGCTTTACAATAACGAAAAGCATTCGGTTCTTGTTTGATTGTTAGATAGCGCGTGATTACAAAGTGATTTTTTCTTCCCGATTTATAAAAAAAATCCTTACGTGATAGGAAAAAATGAATATTATTTTCGAAATCTCCGTAGCTGAATTATGGAAAATTCGTTATTAAAACTAAAACAACTTTTATGAAGTTTAAAATTCGCAGGCCTGTATTATCAGTTTATAATGGGGAAAAAAATATAGTTTTTAAACCTTGTTTTTCTATATCGTTATTTCTTTTCGTCCTTTTTTGTTAAAAAAGAAAATTCTCAATGTCTTACAAAGATAACTATTTACATACATAATAGTACCGTTTGTCTAAAGCATATAAAATTAAAAAAATAATAATAACGGCCACTTTTTAAGCCTCTTTTAGTTGCAACATAACCTTTAATAAGCCATTCATTACAGTAATTGGTAACTTCCTTGAACTAGATCTGTTACGAGGAATACAAAACGAAACGAACAGTCAGACCGTAGCTTGAGTGTTTACACACAGGAAAAGGGGGGGGGGCAATCTTGGACATGATATGTAGCGGCTTCATACAGAAGAAAGGATATTTCCCATTAAAATACTTTATGAATTACTGACACACGTTTGTACAATCCCATTCGCACACTGACTGTGCTACAAAGGATGGGACGTATACTACTGACATATAATGGCTGGAGACGGCTTGAATGGGTAATGAAGAAAAACTTCAATATAAGTTTAACATAACAGCAAATGTACAACGTTTCGACAAGGTTTTGTCATCATGTTCTTCTTCTTGATGTGAAGAGAAAATGAACTTATGCTAAAACGAACGGTCCAGTGGTTAGCGTGCTGAGCTGTATAATTGAATACAAAGGTTCGTGTCAAGTTAACACCAAGAAAAACAACAACAACATCGCATTCCACGCTTTGGGTTATAGGGTGTGTTACAAGAGTGACGGTCAAATCCCACTATTCGGTCTGACTAATGCAAATAGCCCTAATATTGGGCCCCAAAGGTGGCGGTGGGCGTTGTTGACTAAATGGTTTCCGTTTAGTTGTCACTTCAAAATTAAAGATGGCTATTGCAAATGGTCCTAGTTTAGCTTCGAGCGAAATTCAACAAAACAGACAATCAAATGTAAATGAGAATTTTTTAATATCCAGGAGAAACTAAAAGAATCCGAATGGGACCTTTTTCTTTTCTATTTTTAAAGCTCATCTTTTTTGTTCTTTGTCATCTACGTATTTAATAAACTGAATGTGGTTATTATGAATACTCAACGATAAACTTTCAAAAAAATCTTCTTTCTTTTTCCGAAAAGTGAGTTTTGATTTTAATGGGCAGCTCCTTTCAGTACAAGGTCTAGTTATAGAAGCCGAAACGTCAACTTTAGTAGCGTTTTGACTTTAATGGACAGCTCCTTTCAGTACAAAGTCTAGTTATAGAAGCCGAAACGTCAACTTTAGTAGCGTCTTAACTTTAATGGGCAGCTCCTTTCAGTACAAGGTCTAGTTATAGAAGCCGAAACGTCAACTTTAGTAGCGTTTTGATTTTAATGGGCAGCTCCTGTCAGTACAAGGTCTAGTTATAGTAA